GTAATTCTTTCAGATTAAAAAAAAAAAAAGCATTGGTCTAGTAGAGGATTTGGCAAACTATGGCCCACGTCTTATTTTTGTAAATAAAGTTTTATTCAAACACAGCCACACCTACTTGTTTACATATCAGCTATGGCAGCTTTCATGCTGCTGTAGCAGAGTTGAATAATCTCAACAGAGATCCCATGGCCCACAAAGCTGAAAATATTACTCTCTGGTCCTTTTAAGAAAATGTTTTCTGTCTTATGATCTAGTGTGTAGGTCTGGCCTTTGGGTCTGAGTCTGCCACAGTTATCTGTATAACTTTGGAAAAATAAATAAATTCCTTTGATTCTCTGCACTTTGGCTCTCTCATCTGTCACCAAGGATATGACTAAGATGACCATCTGATGTCCCTTCTGCTTTTTCTCTGGACATTCCATGAGCCTCTAATTCTATCACGTAGACACAGTTTCTGGGTAGATGGACATTAAATCACATTACCTGTTATTATTTTTGATAATGTGGGCATGCCTTAGCCAAAGATAAGACTTGAAGGTTTTCTTCTTTATGTATACATTGTAGTAATTGTATACATAGAAACTCTGCCTCATCAACTATTTGGTTGTCTTGAAGAACAGGTTACAAATAAAAGGCGGGATAAATTGTTTGATTTTTTTCCCTTGTATTTAACACTTTTGTGAGTTGATTTTCTAGCATCTTCCAATGGTAGCCAATAATATTTTTTTTTCTAATGGGAACCAGTAAATAAGAGCCCTCCTTACTTCTCTGGCTAAACGTCTGCAAGACAAAAGCCTAGAATGTCATCATCAGTCACAGAGTTACAGGGACAGCTGTTCTGAATAATAATGTAGCACAGAAGCAGAAATAGAGATGAGACACACACAGAAGAAAAGTCTAAGTTGTATTTGAGTGTAGGGATGCAGTTTTTGGAGGATATCTCTAGTTCTGTCTTCCTTAGTTTTGTTATATGATTTAATTCCTTCCTTCCTTTTTCCTTTTTCACTTCTGTTCAAGTTTCTAAAAGTTGGATTTTTCCTTTTGTTATTTTCTTTTTCTTTTTCTTTTTTTGAGACAGAGTCTCACTTTGTTGCCCAGGCCAGAGTGAGTGCTGTGGCATCAGCCTAGCTCACAGCAACCTCAATCTCCTGGGCTCAAGACATCCTACTGTCTCAGCCTCCTGAGTAGCTGGAACTACAGGCATGCACCACCATGCCCAGCTAATTTTTTGCATATATATTTTTATTGGTTAATTAATTTCTTTCTATTTTTAGTAGAGACAAGGTCTCGCTCAGGCTGATTTCGAACTCCTGACCTCAACAAGCAATCTGCCCGCCTCAGCCTCCCAGAGTGCTAGGATTACAGGTGTGAGCCACCACGCCCAGCCTCCTTTTGTTATTTTCATCTAAGAGTCTAAATTAGGCTAATAGTGGAAGGGGGTGTAGATAAAATAGAGATTATCATATTTCATCAAGTTGAAGACACAATGTGAGGGAAAAAGAATGGGCCTTTCAATAAAAGGGTAGTGGCGCTGGTCTGAGTGCAGTGGTGTTTACAACGAATTGATCACAACCAGTTACAGATTCCTTTGCTCCCTCTCCACTCCCACTGCTTCACTTGACTAGCTTTTTTTTTTTTTTTAAAGGTACTGGGATAACTGATTATCCATACAGAAAAATTAGATCCCTACCTCACACTGTAGACAAAACTTAATTTAAGGTGTACTAAATATGAAAAACAAAATTCTAAAAAAGTTTAGAAGAACATATAGTGCTGTGGCCTGTTTGCAGGACAGGGGATGAACGCAGAACACAAAAAAGACACACAGACGGTAACAAAGATGGTTACAAGACTGCAGTGCCAAATGCACCAGTCGTTTTATTTTTATCGAAGTTACTTCCTTGCACATGACCACCCAGGCATTGCAGCAACGGCCATACATACCAGAACATGTAGCCAGATGTCCCCTGACACAAGGTTTCCAGGTGGTTGCTCTGGGTGCCAGGCATAGATCACAGACCGAGATTAGTAAGGATGGGCAAGGCAGTCACAGTGGGCATTTTTCATCCCCAGTTTCTCTTAGCCTGATCCCCTGGGGCTGTGCATGGCTTAGGTCGCCCCTCCCTTGAAGGGTCTTACCCGTCATTGACTAACCAGCCATCTTATGGGGCTAAGCAGCAATCACAGGAACAATGTGTTTATTGTGTGGCCTCCAGGCCTCCACTTATCATGGGGCTGGGCAGCCCTTGCCTCAATGCAGAAACTCAGGCCTATTGTTATGCATCTGGGCAGCAACCTTGTCCAGGGCACATTACTCTTAAACATTCTGGACAGGGCACATACATTACTCACTAAATTTAATTCTTAAACCAAGAAAGTATAATGTCAGTCCCCAACAATATAGGAGAATATAATGATCATATAAAGCTAGTCAAGACATAAAGAAATCTCTCAAAATGTAAATTAAAAGATAAATTACTTTGAGTAGCTTAATGTTAAAAAGATGCAAGGGAATGAAAATACAGACTTACAGGAGATATTTACAACATGTACTTTACAGAGAAAATGTGTACCTAATATATAAATACTATCCTCAAATCAGTAACAAAAAGACAATTCAATAGAAAAATGAACAGTGTACAGAAACCATCCATATGGTCATATGGTCAATAAACATATGAAATGATGATAAAGCTCACTCGGAATCAGGAAAATGCAAGTTAAAGCAATGCAAGGTCTTTACATAGACTTTTTTTTTTTACTTCAGGGTATTGTGAGGGTACAAACATTTTGGTTACATTTTATGTCGTTGCCTCACCCAAGAGAGGGCTAGAGGCAGGCCCTTCCCCTCTACAATGCTCACCATGTCCTTTCATTGTGAGTTTACCCCCCCAACCCCCTAATCCCTGGAGAATATTACTACCATGTGGCACCATAGTGTTAATCAGTGAGTAAAAAATTTGATAGCGAGTACAAGTGGAGCCTATTCTTCCAATCTTGCATACATAGATAACTTTAAGTGGATTATAATTTCACATATTTTAATCAGCAAAAATTAGAAAATTTAATACATTTATACATTATCAAAGAAGTGGGGAATTGGAAACATATATTGTTGATAGAAGTATAAATAGGTGAAATCACTTTAGTTATCAATTTGCCCCTTCTAATGGAATTAAAGATGTAGACATCATAGAAGACAGATCTTACCTCTAAATACATGCCCTGGGGAAGTCACACGTGTGAACAAGAAGGCAGGCACGAGAACGTGCCCTGCAGCATTTTGCTGATAGTGCAGAGCTGGAAACAGCCCAAATGTCCAGCAGTCAGGGAAAGGATAAAGAGACCATAGTTAGTGCATGCAACCCAGTTCTTCCTTAAAATTTGTTTTATTGAGATATGACTCACATATCATCAAAGCCATGTTTTAAAGTGCACAATCCAGTGATTTTTTAGTATATTCACAAGGCTGTGCACGCATCACTGCTGTCTAACTCCACAACACTTTCATTGTCCCCCAAAGAAACCCCATTCTCATTAGTGGTCACTTCTCATTACTCCCTCCCCCCTAGCCCCTGGCAGCCACTAATCTACTTTCTGTCTCTAAGGAATTGCCTATTCTGGACATTTTGTACAAATGGAATCATACAATATGTGGCTTTTTGCATCTGGTTTCTTTCACTTAGCATAATTTTTCAAGGTGTATCTGTGTTGTAGCATGTAACAGTACTTCATTCTTTTCTATGTCTGAATAACATTCCATAGTATGGATAACAACTGAATTCTATTCAGTAAATAATGGACTAGATCTACCAAAATCACTGAATGAATCTCAAAAGCAAAATATTGAGGACAATAAAAAAGTTAAAGATTTTAGTATACAATATGATTCCATATATGCGTGTATGTGTGTATATATATATATACATATATATTCTTCTTTTTTTTTTTTTTTTTGAGACAGAGTCTCACTCTGTTGCCTGGGCTAGAATTCTGTGGTGTCACCCTAGCTCACAGCAACCTCAAACTCCTGGGCTCAGGTGATCCTCCTGCCTCAGCCTCCCGAGTAGCTGGGACTACAGGCATGCGCCACCATGCCCGGCTCATTTTTAAAATATATTTTTAGTTGTCCAGCTAATTTCTTTCTATTTTTGTTAGTAGAGACAAAGTCTCACTCTTGCTCAGGCTGGTCTCAAACTCCTGAGTTCAAAGGATCCACACGCCTCTGCCTCCCTCCCAGAGTGCTAGGATCACAGGCGTGAGCCACTGCGCCCGGCCCGTATGTGTATATTTTAATTACGTAAGTATTACCACAAACTGATTATCAAGAGATGCCTCTTTAGAAAAGTATTTTAAAATGCACAAGACTAACGTACAGTGCTGAGGAGAGTGTTTACCTTTGTTTATGAGAGGAAGGAAAATAGATTGGGAGTGGTAGAAGTAAAAAAAAAAAGCAAAATGTTAATGTCTAGAAAATAGGGTCTCTATGCATATTTCCTTTTATATTATTTGGGTTTTTATGATTGAGTTATTTCAAAATTTAAAAGTTAAAAAGAGAAAAATTATCCAACAGATGTTGTTGAGCTAAGAATATGAATATTTGTACTGAATAAACATTCTAAATCTGAACACTTCCATTTATTCCTTTTTTTTTTTTTAAGACAAAGTCTAACTCCAAGCCCGTGGGCAGAGTGCAGTTGTGTCATCACAGCTCACTGGAACCTCAAACTTCGGGGCTCAAGGGATCCTCTTGCCTCAGCCTCTTGAGTATCTGTGACTACAGGCACGTGCCATCTCACCCGGCTATTTTTTTCTATTTTTGTAGAGATGGGGTCTCCTTCTTGCTCAGGCTGATCTCAAACTCCTGATCTCAAGCGATCCTCCTGCTTCGGCCTCCCAGAGTGCTAGGGTTACAGCATGAGCCACACCACCCAGCCTATTCCTATATTTTAAAAATGACTTTCAAACTTGACTGAGTGACACAACTTTGGAAGCAAAGCTCACATATTTGTGTTTATAGATATGTGACCGTTCAGTGACTTTGTAACAAAAAAGTCAACACTCAGAGAAATCCTTGCAACAACATACAGCTGACCCTTCAACAACATGGGTCTCAAAGGCATGGGTCCACTTACACGTGGATTTTCTTCTGCCTCTGCCACCCCTGAGTCCACAAGACCAACCCCTCCTCTTCCTCCTCCTCCTCAGCCAACTCAACCTAAAGATGAAGAGGATACAGCCCTTTATGGTGATCCACTTAATGAACAGTAAATACACTTTTTTCTCTTTATGATTTTCTTAATAGCATTTTCTTTTCTCTAGCTTCTGTTTTTGCATAATTATTACCGACATCTGTATTTTAATTTTTCTATTTCCCCATCATGGGGTAAAACAGGTCATCAAAGGGAACCGAATCCATTTGACCATTTCCTTTTTTGCGTGTGCTTCCCAGAGGTGTTCAATAACTGCTTGCTGGATGGTTGATCAGTATTCTTTCCTTGAATTGTTCTGTGGGGAAACGTGGGGTAGAGATAGTGTGGTGGGGCTCTTGGGCATGGGTAATCCACAAATAAGTCAGATTTTTTAAAGATGAAGAGCTTAATTTGGTTGACACGGAGTAGGAGCCAGGGACAGAGAGTCTCCAGGTTTCCTTATTTCCAACGGCCTCACTCCATCCTCCTCCAAGGGGTCTCGCCATCCTCTTTCTACACTTTCAGTGTTGTGTATTCAACACATCCCGGGGGCTCCTTGGTGGGGGCAGAAGCTGCCTCAGACAGTGCGCTGACATTTGGCTCCACATAGCTCACTCCCTGGGGATCTTCAGTCTTTGGGGAAAAGAGATGGACACAGATGAGCATTTAGGGCTGAGTGATTCAATATGGTAGCCGCTAGCCACATATGGTTATTTAAATCTACATTAACTCTAAAATTAAATTAAATTAAATATTCAGGTCCTCAGTTGCACCAGATGCATTTCAAACGCACAATAGCCGCGTATGGCCGGAGCCTGCTGCCTCGGGTAGCACAGGCATGAAACATGCCCACTGCTGCAGGGAGTTCCGCTGGACAGCGCCATTCTAGAACGGCTGCACTTGCAGGAGCATGAGGAGTTTGACTATAGCATTAGTAAAACAATACAATCAATTAAAATCAGTGCAAATGTATGATATTGAGAATAACAACTACCAACTGACAACTACTGATTCTGCAATGTTATATTCTTGTAATATTATTATCAGTGGTTTGTCAATTGATGCCATAAACTGAACATTTAAAATAGGCCAGATCTTATGAAGATGGGAGGAATAAGTTCTAGTGTTCAACAGCACAGCACAGTGGCTATAGTGAACAACAACATATTTTATATTCCAGAATAGCTAGACGAGAAGACATGAAATGTTCCCAACACAAAGAAATGACATCCATCCTAGGTGATGGATCTCCTAAAAACCTTGATTTGACCATTACTCATTGTATCCATATACCACAATATCACATGTACCTCATAAATATGTACAAATACTAGGTATCAACAAAGAAAAATAAAAATAAAACAGACCAGATCAGAGAGTAGAATGGTGGCTGCCAGGGGCTTGGGGAAGGAGGTGACGGGGAAGTGTTGATCAAAGGGTACAAAGTTTCAGTTATACAAAATAAGTAAGTTCTGTGCAGCTACTGTATAGCACAGATCTTGCGAAGAACAATACTGTATTGTATACTTAACATTTCACTAAAAGGGTAGCTCTTATGTTGAGGTCTCAGCTCAAAAGAGGGAAAGAAAACTCCAGAGGTCAGGAGGAGGCCTTTGGAAGTGATGGATACGTTTATGGCATCGATAGTGACAATGGTCAACGGTTTCACGGGTGTATATTTATCTCCAAGCACGTCAAATTGTGGCATTAAATATGTACAGTTTTTTGTGGAAAAGAAAAGAGAAAAACAGACCAGAGTAACCATTTGTTCGTTGATGCTTTGATGCCAACCATATGACATTTAGAATTTGCCAGAAACTCTGAAAAACCCTTTATATTAGTGACACCACTGGGTTTGCACAAGCCTTTTAAACAGGGGTTTTGATCCCCATTAGCTACAAGATGAAATGAAAGGGACTTTGTGATTTGTCACAGGGACTTCGTGATTTGTCTAAGCCCACACAGGTGATAAATAGTAGACAGTGGGAGCTGGAATTCAAAGCACATGTTTTTAAACACGATGTTAATTGGCCTCCCGTCCATGGCGTGAGTTGGGGGCGTCGGTACAGCCATAGCATGGGCTAAACCAGGAGGCAGACAGGCCCAGCCCCTGGTGGTCAGTGACGTCTCGGAGGATCCCGAAGCGGGAGAACTCACCAAGAGAGACGTCCTTTCCGTCTTGGATACATCTGCACGTGAGCGAGAGAAAAAAGTGAGCGCTTAGGTTGTAGGAGTTACAACTTGGTCTTTCTGTCCCCTAATTCTCTCCACTTCCCTTAACACTTACCTGTAGCATCCGGCTTGGGAGATTCGGAATGGCTGGTACTGAGAGAGAGAAAAACACAAGAAGGCATGGAATCTGAATGAAGGCTTGGGGCTTTGGCGAGGAGAGGAGGGAGGTCGCAGAACGGGCTGGGCTTGGGGGCTCTGGGTGGGGCTAGGCGTGCCAGTCACGGTGTCTGAAGAATGGTGGTGAATTAAGGGGAGGATGAGCTATGTCAAGTCTATCTACCTCTCAGCGGATTCTTCATGTGTTGAAGCTCTAGGTTCTTCCGTTGATGAACCTACAAAAACAAACACAGGGAGGAGTTTACCTGCTGGGAAAATCCTTCACTCTCCCTCTCTCCCTTTCCGTCTCTGAACTCACCTCGCTGAGTGTGCCTGTATATGCAGACGACCGAGAGGAAGAGGAGAATGATGGAGATGCAGCTGACAGGGGCGAAAAAGATGATCCTGGTGTCTGCTGGGGAAGGGCAGGCCAGAGAATGAGCTTGGCTCCTGAAACGCACTGCAGGGAGCAGCCTGGGGCAGCCAGACAGACCGCCTGGCTCCCAGACTCGGATCTGCGGCTCCGAGAGCTGGAACTTCCGATTGCTAGGGGAGTTTCAGGGCTGTCCCCTCACCTGTGAAGTGAGGCTGGCACTCGGAGCGACTCCATCAGATGGTAGGGGGATTAAATGGGTCAGTGCACCCAGCCCCACCTTGGGCGCGGGAAATTCCCAGTGAACGTTTTCGTGCATAGAGATAATGCGGATCATTTATCGTGAGCCAGCCCCGTGCTCGATGCTTCCGATATGTTCTGTCTCACCACCCGAGACAGATTTACTATCCCTATATCGAAAATTCATAACTAAATTAGGCACTAGGGAATACAGACAATTGCCCAAAGCCACACAGTCATTATGGGTTTGATGCAGGTATGACAACCTTTTAGCCAGTTGACCCCAAGGTCAGGGTCGCTCTGTGCTCAGCTTTGGGGGTGAATGTACCAGACAAATGACATTCTGAACCCGTCCCAGGGAACCCATAGTCTAGTGAGATGAACATTACCCAACTTACTGTAATGCTACACAGACTGTGACGAGTCCAATAATAGATGAATGAAAGTTTAGACTGTCACCCAGCTCAAGAATCGTTTTCTTACCTTCTGCTTTCACTACGGCATATTGAACCCGTCCACCGACCTCTCTTCACTCCCTGACACTGGGAAAGAATTTGCTATTGTTTCTGGTCATAGAACGGACTAGACACGTGAACTCTTCTGGCTCAAAACAACTCACATTCTTAGCTCAGAAATGTTTTCTGAATTTTCTTACAGGCAATGATGAGCTGACAGTAAAGTTAGAAATTTCTGGAGAGAAAGATTAATTGAAGACAAGAAACCATACAGGAGAGCGGAGGCCTGGGGTTGACGGAGGCCATGAGGGCATTTGCCGTGGCTCTGGTGTTTACGACTTCCTGGGGCAGCGGGGAAGGAAACAAAATGCAAAGTCTGCCCGAGGAAAAGGATTCTCCTGGGCAAACTTCACTCTGTAAATCAGGGACCCAGTGAGCAGCATCCCAACTGTTAATGGTAGACCAGGAATGGCCTCTCGACTAGTGAGGAAAACCAACTCTCTCGAATCTTGTAACAGAATGAACAAAGGTAAAAAGTGCCCCGAGACTTTGCAAGCCAACCCCAACATGGGTTTGGAGCTCAAGTTGAAAAGAGCTAGAGACAAAAGGGCGCAATTTGACTACAAGAAAGAGGTTTTGAAAGTGAAAAGTATTTATCAGGGGCGATGAGCAACAAAATGGATACTCTTAAAAATTGAATTATTAATTTAGGAAATGGGCTTCAGGAATTATTTAAGAATGTAGAATAAATGTTTGTAGTTATGAAAAGAAAGTTAAGAGATGTAGAGACTAGACCAACATCCACAACATGGGGACTCCAGAGGCGGGAATGGTACACGTGAAGGAGAGCAGTGTAAGAAATAAAGGAACATTTCCTTGTTTTAAAGGAAGATGTTAGTGTTTCACTTTTTAAAAACCAAAGGATAGACAATAACATTAATGGAAGTATTTGGGTTGGGCCAGGTGTGGTGACTCATGCCTGTAATCCTAGCGCTCTAGGAGGCCGAGGTGGGTGGATCGTTTGAGCTCAGGAGTTCGAGACCAGCCTGAGCAAGAGTGAGACTTCGTCTCTACTAAAAATAAAAAGAAATTAGCTGGACAACTAAAAATATATAGAAAAATTAGCCGGGCATGGTGGCGCATGCCTGTAGTCCCAGCTACTCGGGAGGCTGAGGCAGGAGGATCGCTTGAGCCCAGGAGTGTGAGGTTGCTGTGAGCTAGGCTGACACCACGGCACTCTAGCAGGGGCAACAGAGTGAGACTCTGTCTCCAAAAAAAAAAAAGTATGTAGGTTGTTTCTACCCTTTGGCTATTGTAAATAGTGCTGCTAAGAACATTCATATACAAGTTTTTGTTTGAAAAACTCTTTTCATTTCTTTTGGGTGTATCCCTAGGAGTGGACTGCTTCAGGGGTATTAGATTTCCATCTAGGGTGATGAGAAAGTTCTAGAACCAGATAACAGGGAAGGTTGCACAAGATGGTGAAAGTACTTAGTGCCACTGAATTGCACACTTTAAAATGGTGAATTTTATGTTATGTAAATGTTATATATATATATTTATGTTATATAAATGTTGTGTTATGTTTACTACAATAAAAAAAGAAATTCTACAAAGCTTTAATTGCTTTTCTAGGCTGGTTGTCTTCCTCTGGTCTGCTAAACGGCCTCCACGCCATCCACGGAACCTGGGCAAGCCTAATAAGTAAGCCCCAGAAGGTTCCGTTAGTGACTGTGGGTTTTGTGAGTCTCCACACAGAGCCGGGGTTCCCTCAGCTCACAGCCCGAGGCCGTGCTGACAGGAAGTCGCTTTCTAGATGGAAAAGTGGTGGTGGAGTAGTGCCACCCTCTGGCCACACTCTGTCTTGTCATGCTGGACAACAGAGGACATCACGATGGTTAATTTTATGTGTCCACTTGGTCAGGCCATCGTGCCCAGCGGTTTGGCCAAACACCCGGTGGGGTGTGGCTGTGAAGGTATTTTTAGACGGGATTAGCACGTGGATCAGTAGCCTTTGAGGAAGGCAGCTTCCTCGGCAGTTGGCAGGTGGGCCTCATCCCAGCAGTCGGAGGCTTTGCGAGAGAAGATTGAGACCCCCGGGGGGAGGTAGGAGCTCTGCCTCCAACTGCCTTCCGACTCAAGCTGCGACGTCAGGTCTTCCCTGGGTCTCCAGCCTGCCTGCCTACCCTGCAGATTTTGGACTTGCCAGCCCCCCAGTCATGTGAGCCAACAATTCCTTAAAGAAAATCTCTCTGCATGTATACACGTCTATATTCTACTGGTTCTTTCTCCCCGGAAGACCCCATCTAATACAGACGTGACCTCTGCTCCTCCCTTCAGTCACGTTTCGATGGGCTCACTTATGCTGGGAGGGCACCATGCCGGTGGGAGTGGGGAGTCTCATGCCATTCCCTGAGACTCCCCGGTGACAAGGGACCAGTTGGAAGGACTCAGGGAGGATTCCGGGTGAGAACAGCGTTAGACAAGGGTAGAAAAGAATGACTAAAACTAAAAACCATCGTTCTCAAGAGAGAAAATTTCCACCAACAAAAGGAACTAGTTTCTCAGCGATATTTATAGGCAAGTCTACGTCATAATATTTTTAATTCTTACAACAACCCTGCAAGATTGGTATCAATATTTCCATCTCATTGGTAAAGGACATGCCTATGGGTGAGTCCAGGAATTACAAAACGGAACTGTACCCAAAGCGTATATAGTGTTACAACGAGGAAGCAGCACGTAGTTGAGGCCGGGCAGTAGATTCCACACAATTCCTCCTGTGTGTGGCTTTCCTTCATGCTTGAATAAAGAAACACGTGGTAAAACTTCAAGGAGTAGGAAGAAGAAAAATGATTGAAGACAAAAAGTTGAGTAGCGGGGAAGGGGGGCGGGTATATACATACATAATGAGTGAGATGTGCACCATCTGGGGGATGGTCATGATGGAGACTCAGACTTTTGGGGGGAGGGGGGAAATGGGCATTTATTGAAACCTTAAAATCTGTACCCCCATAATATGCCGAAAAAAAAAAAAGTTGAGTAGTTATAGAAACACCTCTCCAGGCCCCTCCCTACCTTTGTGTGTGTGCTTTGGCTCTTAAGATTTTTCCCAGGTACACGACGATCTGAGGTCACACTGCAGAGCCAGGTCTGAGACGCTTTGCAACGTCTGGTCCTCGGCACCAGCAGAGGGTCTCTGACCCAGCCCCCACCTGGTCCCCTCACTAGCTTTCTATCTGCATATGTGTATATATATATGGAATTATCTATCTATCCACTTACCTATCATCCATCTAACCTGTCCTTTATCTAATCTATACATCTTATCATCTCTATCTTTATATCTGTCTACCCATGTACTTACCTGTCATCTAGCTATCTAATATAGCTATTTATTTATTTTGAGACAGAGTCTGGCTTTGTTGCCCAGGCTAGAGTGAGTGCCGTGGCGTCAGCCTAGCTCACAGCATACCTCAAACTCCTGCGGCTCCACGATCCCCCGCCTCAAGCCTCCCGAGAGCTGGACTACAGGCACGCGCACCATGCCGCTAATTTTTCTATATATGTTCAGTGCCCAATTAATGATTCATATTATGAGTAAGAGACAGGTCTCGCTCTGCCCAGGCTGGTTTCGAAACCCCTGACTCGAGCATCACCCGCCTCGGCCTCCAGAGTGCAAATACAGGCATGAGCCACGACGCCCGCTAATATATTATTCTTTCTATCCTTTAAACCACCTACTGAATAGGCTCTTCTCTTTCTTTTCTTTCTTTTCTTTTCTTTTCTTTTCCTTTCTCTTTCTTTTCTTCTCTTTTCTTTTCTTTTCCTTCTCTTCTTCTCTCCTCTCCTCTCCTCTCTCTCTCTCCTCATTCTCCTCCTCTCCTCTCCTCTCTTCTTCCTTTCTCTTCTCTTTTTCTTTTCTTTCTTCTTTCTTGCCTTTTTTATTTTTGAAGACAGAATCCTCACTTGTCCCGGCTAGAGTCCGTGGCGTCACCTAGCTCAAGCACCGCAGACCTCCTGGCTCAAGCAATCCTCCTGCCTCAGCCTCCCCTAAACTGGGACTACAAGCATGCCGTCATATTTTTTTCCTATATAGTTTTTAATGTCCAGCTATTTCTCATTTTTTTAGTAAAACGGGTCTTGCTCTTGCAATCCAGCGCTCCTCAAACTCTGAGCCTCAAAACTACTCTGCACACCTTGGCCTCCCAGAGTGCTGGGATTACAGGCGTGAGCCACTGTGCCCACTGAGGCTTTTCTTAATTGATCAGCAAGCAGTAGCAAAAGGAGTGGAGAATTATTGATAAGACATGCCTGAGTTCTAATACTGAGTCTCCCACTTACAGA